TTCCTCCCCAAGACTTCAAGGTTTCTAGAAATGTTATGTCTTCATCTTTCATCAGAGCTTCTAATAAGTGGCATTATTGACAASTATTTCATTGTATGTGCATGCATGCATGTCTATGGGGGGGTGCATGGAAGAATAAAGAGGGAAGAAGGAAGGAGACACTGAAAAAGAAAAGAAAATATAAAATAGCCTTCTAGAGGAACAGCGAGACCAGAAAAAGACAGCGGGGTCAAAGGATGATAAAATAAAACCACCTGCAGTGTTTACTTTGGATCCCAAGAGATTATAAGTGAGTCCCYGTTCAATGGCACAAAGATAAAGGTCCAGGAGAACAAGATTCCATGTGTTATCTACAAAACGAGGGTTCTGATGTCTCCCCTTCTCTGCAACATGCTGGTTTCTGAGGATATACAGGGCAGCCTCTATCAAGGGCACTTGACATTTTGGTTCCTAAATGGATAGATATGACTTCAAGGACCCGTCCTGCTGTTACCAGGATTCCATGCAGCCTACAAATACACAGTCTGACATCTTTAGAGATGCTCCTGAGGTTTACAACTTTTGCAAGCCGAACTCAGGTTCCAGCTTTGAATATCCAGCTCTGTTTAATGAAGTACTTTGAAAAAGACATCCTACAGTGTCTTATAGTTTCTTCTATAAATACTCTCCACTATTCAAAAATCACCTAATGCTATTCATATTAGAGTGTAATGCACCTAAGTCTCACAGTCAGCCTTAGCTTAGAACCAACTGCTATGTTTTTTCCACATTTTATTTCTGGCAGTCCATACATTAATCTGGATCTTGAGCATCCCACTGATCTATCGTCCCAATGATCAACTTTGTAAGAAAAGACCGCAGGATGTTAACATGTGTTAAGGACCCATTATGTGYTTGGGTTTGGGATACTGAGATATAATTTAGTTGCTTTAAAATTTATCTATTTTTAGCAAACAAGTCAGTGATTTTTATTAAATTCATACATTTGTGCTCTGAGAAGTACCCTCCACTCCACTGTGATCTCCAGTCCCAGGCTATTGCTGTCATTTTGCTTTTTCTGGAGATTTTACATGAACACAATCATACCATAGGTAGTCTTTGGTGTCTGGCTTTTATCCACTTAATAGATTTGTCATATTGCTAACATGCTAGTAGCTCAGTCTTTTTTTTTTTTTTTTTTAAATTGATGAGTAGTATTCCACTGGTGGGATTGCTGGGTCAGAGAGTAAAGAATATTTGACTTTTAAACAAATGGGCCAAATTGCTCCAAAATCCTCGCCAACACTTTGGTAYTACTGTGGTGGTTCCTAACCTAGAAGGTAGATGGTAAAATCTTACTTTTGGTTTAATTTACATTTTTCTAGTGATCAATCATATTGAACATCTTTTCATATGCTTATTTGGTAAACTGTTGACTCAAATCTTTTGCTCATCCTTAATTGAGTGCCTTATCTTCTTATTGAGTTGTAAGAGTTCTTTGTATATTTCAGTTAAAATCCTTTGTTATATAATTACTTGACTAATATTTGCTTTGCTGCCTGCCTTTCCATTTTCTTAATGGTATCTTTGGAAGAGGAAACATTTAATTTTGATGTCACCCAATGTATTAATATTTTTTCATTTAATGTTCATAGCTTTTTGTATTGTACCTAAGAATTCTTTTTCCTAATTCAAGATCACACAGTTTTTCACTATTTTTCTGTAAGCTTTATAGTTTTAGTTCATATATTTATGATCCATTTTTGATTGAATTTTTGTGTAAATAGTAGTATAAGAATCCTGGGTGACAATTTGCATGTGTAAATCTAATTATTTTGGCACCATTTTTGAAGAAAAAAATTGCTTTCCTACTACCTTGACACCTTTGATGAAAATCAATTTGCCACATGTATGACATATATGGACTTTCTCTTATGCTCTACTGAGYTATGTATCTACTCTTATGCCAATACCCCACTCTCTTGATTATTATAGCTTTACAATAAGTTTGAAAGTAAGAAGGATGAGTCCTCCAACTTCACTCCTTTTCCACAGTTTAGACTATCCTAATCATCTGAATTTCCATATGAATCTTAGGCTCACCTTGCCAATTTCTATCAACATAAAATCTTTCTGTTGTTTTGCTTAAGAGTTTTTTGGATCTGTAGACCAGTCTGGGAAGAATCACCAATATTGAATTTTCTAATCTATGAACATGGTATGCATTGCAATAATTTAGTTCTTTTATTTCTCTCAGTATCACTTTGCATTTTCAGAGTGTAGTTCTTAGATTAAATTTATTCTTAAGTATATTGTTCTTTTTGATATTATTTGTACATGGAATTGATCTTTCTAAAATTTCATTTTCAGGTTGTACTGCTATTACTAGTAAATAGAAATATATAATTGATTTCTATATATTAAACTTATACCCTGCAACCTTGTCCAACTCACTATAATGTCCTAGTAGCTTTATGTAGATATTTCAGGATTTTCTAAGTATAAAGATCACACTGTCTGAGAATAAAATCATTTCTATTTCTTCCCAACTTTCCTGAATTCAATTCCTTGTTTTTGCCTATTATTCTTGATTTTTYTATTTGAACTATCAGCAAACTTCTCTTTAGTATATTGTCAGTCCTATAACCCCTTTCATGAACACTGAAGTCAGATTTTTTTATATCTTTCGCCTCATGAATGATCATTTTTAACTAATGCACAGTGCCACTATCCATCAGGTGAAAATCCAGTTTCAAAAGTGTTCGGACAATTACTTAAAGATCTTTAAGTGCATTTTATCCTCATCATTTAGGGGAGGAAAAAGAATAGTCAACAAAAAAAGAAAGTACTGCTATAATAAGCACAAATCTCATAAACTTAAAGACAATTGAGCCAAAGGTGAAAATCATTAGGCATGCTGCAAATGGCAATTCTTTAGCCTTAGGTGCTCATTGGATTTAAAAAGTTTGTCAACCAGTGAGAAAGAGAAAAAACTAAAAACATAATACGACAGTGAAAACATGATATCAAAGACTCCSTAAAATTCAAGGTATAATTATGATTTTATAATGTAGTCCTTGAGAACACAACTGCTTTTCTGGTATCTAACTATTGTTATATTCTAGTACAATTCAATTCCAAATATTCTGTGGAACATATTRAGTCTCAAGGTGAGGGAAAACAAGGACTTCATTTATCTTACACAATTTCTGAGAGTGGCATAACAATTTGCATTAACCAATCAGAAAAAAGACCTCCAACTTAAGTACCTTCCCAAAGCATGTACAATAAAAAGTGGAGACAAGATTAAATAAAACCCAAGTCTTCTAGCTCCAAAARCTCTACATTGGGTCCCTACTTTCCAGAGCAACCCATTTCCCTGACCTATATCCTGAAGCCTTAGACTTCTACCCACTGTTTAGCAAGCCTCTGGTTTCAGGCGTGGCATGGTTTCTAACATTCTCTGGATTTCCCCCACTGATTTACAAGTTACTGTGCAACCACCGGGGAAGAATTTATCTCCCTGATTTGCTCTGCTCCACATTATGAACTTGAAACCTTGAACCCTGTAGTAAAAAAGGTGTCGCATAAACAAGACATATGGGAATTAATACAGGAAGCTTGGTTTAAAGCAGATGAATGATTTTTTCTTTAAGTTTGGGTTAGAAATTTCCAGGAAGGTGGAATAAGAAATGATACTGTAAATCAGGCTTTTCCTCCCTGCATTCACTTTTGGGGTAGTGCTGGGGTGTGAATATATTCCAAAGCAGAAGTTTCCATAAAACCATTAAATTGTGGACAGGAGACAAAGCTTAGACTCCCCTTTCTCAATATCCCATAGAAAAATTATATCCCTTGGAGAAAGATGATTGATTAAAATCTCTATAATTTAGGTTTGTAGGGCCAGAGAAGAGAAGCTATATTTTCACTGATGAGGATACAGAGTGTCTTAAGTGAACACTTAATAGATGTGCTGGAGCAGGCTGATTAGAAAGGACTGATGGCCTGCTTTTATTAAGCAAACACCAATCAGCTCCTCCTGTGCTTGRGGCAAATACACAAACCCAGAAATAATCACCTCAGTCCATGATAGACCAAATACACCTTGTGCAGAGGAAAGGAGGCACCCTGCATGACTTTGATTCTCTGAGCAGCAAACCTTGGGGAAGAGAATTTTTTTCTACAAACCCTCTTATTTTTATGTCCTGTGCTAATCTTTTTCAAATCAATTCCCCTCCCTAAATAAAACATACAGTTTACAGCCTCTACGAGTTTGGCTATGTGTGTTGACGCCTTTGAAGATCCTGGTAGTTGGAAAATATTGTAAACAATCTACATGATTAAGGACAAGATGGAATATCTATCGGGCACATTAGGGGTCACCAACTACTACAGGCYGACTGCTTGTTGACTATTTTTGTAAATTAAGTCTTACTGGAACACAATGGTGTCCACTCGTTTATATATTACCTATATCTGCTTTCTTGCTACAGTGGCAGATTGGAGCAAGTGCCACTGAAACTAACAAGTGCCACTAAAACTTTCGCTCTCTGTCCCTTTTTTAAAAATATTGGCCAATCCTTGTGATAACACATTTAAAATAATATTGAAAAATACTCAGGATATGTCAGGATAAAAACAAACAGCAACACACAATATTCATTTATAGCATAATCAGAATTAGAGAAAATAAAGAAAGTGATTCTAGGAAAGAGATTCCAAATGTCAAGCCAAGGGATCTGGGTGGTAGAGTGCCAACTGATTTGCCGTTTCCCCACCTGTTTTTTTTTTTTTTAAACAATTTTCTGAAATGACCTCACATTTATTTTATTATAGAAAAACTAAACCTCACTTTAAAAGTGCCTTGAGTTCCTTTTGTACACAGTGGGTGTGGCTAAAGCCACTGACTCCCCACTCGGTCCCTCCCCACTGGAGAGCTGAGGTAGGGAGGCAGGAGGCCCCCGGGCGAGTACCTTATGCTCATCCCGAAGRTGACTGTCCAGCTCCTCCGTGTGCTTGGTCTCATAGTAGCAGAGCTGGCACTTGTAGGGCTTCAGTTCGTTGTGCTTTTCTATGTGCTGCTGGAGGCTCTCGTCRCTGGAGCACGTGAAGGTGCACTTATCACAGCGGAAAACCACTCCCTGCAAGTACCTGGACAGCTTGGAACGGCACACTTCAATGGGGACAACCCGCTCTTCTGTGGAAACAAGCGGAATGGAAGACGGGCATTGTTACCAATGGCCAGCAGATGTTCTTTCTCTGGAATACGACGAGAGACTCACCCATTCAGYTCTGCTACTTCTCCCGGGTGAACTGCACACACCCTGTCCCTCCCCCGGCCTCCAATAACACATTCCTCTGGGACAAGTGGGTGTTTTGAAGACCAAAAGCTCTTGGTGCTTAATACCTAGAATGGCCTATAAATAGAGGTGGGTCAGGCTGAAGGGGGCTTGCTAATGCCTGAATGGAGGTAACTGAGGCAAGGGCAGGAATGGAAGTGGCTGCTGTATTTACCACCATTAATTATTGACAACAACCTTCTTCCTCAGCAAATAGTATTGAAGTTGCATTTACAGATGTCTCCTTATAAGAAGCAAGGAAAGTGACATTAGCTGGCATCTGTATGCTACCACTGGGTCAGCACCTGCCTTGCTCCCAACACCTCTACAAGGCTAGATTTACTCCTATATTTACAGTAAGTAAAATGAGSAGCTTTCCAAAGCTCACACAGAGTTGTAACTGGCAAAGCTGAGACGTGAGCCCAGGCCTGCAAATCCACTGTGGCCACTACTTCCAATCCCACTCCTGTATCCCCCTTTGAAGATGTTCTCAAGGAGACTCTTCCCTTGCCCTGCAACCAGGGGGAATCCCTAATTAACTGCAAATCTGAAAACAAAGAAACTTGCTCACTTTCATTCACCAAAACTCTGACTCCAAATCCAAAGAGCTCACAAATGAAGGCTGCAGGCAACATCGAGGGAGAGGTGGGGTCACATAAGACACCTGGAGGATTCGTGCCTTTTCAGAAGATCTGTGATCCAATTGTCACAATGGAAAAAGCTAAGAGGGAGCGCAGGAGAGGATTTGGGTGCTTTTCCCGTTGACACACCAAATGCTGTAGGGCTGGAAATGCGTGTGCTTGTTTACTTTGCACTCTCTCACCCTTGTGTTTAACTGCTCAAATTAAATTTCACACCAGTCTGCCCAGAGTACCAGCGCACGCGCCAGATATCCATAACTGGGATAAAATTAAAATCTGTGCTATTTATGCAAGAATCAAATATAGCGCGTTTTCATGCTGTGTCTGGATTTCAGAAGACTCTGAAAGTTTACAAATGGACGCACACAACATATACTTACGTTATTTAGAAACAGCAATGTGTTATTAAGTCAAGAAAGCATGATTTATTCCCAGAGCCACCGAGTAGCCTGGCTTCCAGAGCGTCAGTATTTTGCACACTGATGTGACGGGCTCCCTCCATTCTTCCCTTTGTTGTTGGCCTGCCCCTGGGGAATTTCCCCCACCCAACATCACACCTTAGTCTCAACCACAACATTCTAACTGTAGGGCAGTGGCTGCCTTGGGAGTCCTTGAATACAGCGAATAATTGGCCAGCCAAACAGCCAAACAGCCGGGCAGGGGAAGCGTGGAGGGTGGTGTCTGCAGCACTCCCTGGAGCTCTAATGCATATGTTATTTTCCCTATACAAAGAGTCAGTTGCTTATTTAGAAATATAAATATTTTTAAACCAAAGTATAGCAGACAGCTAAGAAACACATGATTATAATGTAATCCACACATTTTCTTAGAATAGCAAATGTTTAACAGTCTTCTAACCATTCAGTTCCACGGTTTGGTGTAAACGGAGGAAAAATGCTTTGGCGTCAACTAGTGAGCTTTAGGGAGCCCATGCTAGGATATTTGACTCCTCTAACCCAGGGTTTCTCMGTAGCAGCATGATTGACATTTGGGGGCCAGACAATTCTTTGTCGTGGTGTGGGGACTGTMCTGTGCATTGTAGGATGTTTGTCCGCAGCCCTGGCCTCCACCCACTAGATGCCACCAGCACCCTTTCCCCCCCAGTTGTGACATCCTCAGAGTGCCTGCAGATTAATGTATCCTGGGGAGACAATGTTGACCCCAGCTGAGGACTTCTCCAAGCAAAGTGCCAGGCAGGAACTGCAACTGCTCWGATTAAGGCAGCCCTGGACATGGTCCGTCAGCAAGCTGGTACCCACGGCATGAGACAGGGACATTCGCATACTGGGAAAGCAAACTTTCCTGCCCCTCCCTTGAGGCTACAACCCCTCTGCTGTCTCTGTTTGCTCCTGATTTATATCTTGTCATCTCTGCTGCTTCCTCTTTTGTTCTTTGGCTCTGTCCTGTCCTGTCTGCCCTGATTCTGTCCACCTCCGGGGAGATGGAGAACAGCCGGGTAAAATTTTCCATACGATGCCCAAACACCTTGAGGACGATCATTCAGTCACCCTTCAGTCTCCACTTCCCACTCCCAACTGGTTCTTTCAGACTTTTTTATACGTCTTTTTTTTTTTTTCAATTCCTCTATTGCCATGTTAGTTTTCTTTGCAGTTTCCGATTTCACTATGTATATCTAAGTGAATTTTACACCAAGTCACGAGCACACAGAATGTTGCCCTGGAGTTCAAATAATAATGATTAACGTAGATGACACTACAATTTATTGACTGCTGTCTTAAGCCTCCGTTAGGTGTTCTGCCCTCCCGGTGACTTTTATCCTCATAACCCTACAAAGTCATAACCTGGGGTCCCAAATCTGACTTCAGTCAATGCCTACCTCCTTTTTCCCTGCTAAGAATCTTCTGGAACCTCTGACCTGCATGCAATGTGCTAATCAGCCTTTTATTCCAATATTCTCAAACATGCAAAAAGCTACAGATTCCTAAAGTGACYGCTTATGCCTGCATGTCTTTCCAGTATCTGCCAACGGGTCATTTCCCTGCTTGCTTCCTCTGAAACGTGAGACTTCCCATTTCTAAGCTAAGTTGTTACCAATGTTCCAAGTCTCTCACTTACAGGGATTTTTACTAAGGTATTAATTATAGAAAATAGTTAACTTTTCCTTCTTTCTAAAAACATGGCTAACATAAACAAGATTTAAAAAAAAAAAAAAAAAGACAAACTTTGAAAGGTGGGCAAATGACCCACAGTATTTTCTGAAAGAGGGTATTCATTGCCCAGGCAAGTGAGGGACATGAAGTTAAAGACTGAACAGTTTTCAGGTTTGGATGGAGCCCTGTCTTGGCTACAGAAGATCAGAGCCCGGGGCGGGTTTTCCATGGGGGCAGTGACAACTGTGGGTCTCTTTTGACTTCACACCTCTCAAAATTACCTTGGGTAAGAAATCACAGCCTGAATCACACTCATTGTGACTCAGCTTCCAGCACTGGCTGCAAAAATATTATGACTTCACCAGTTCGACGACAAGATGGATTGTGTCTCTCCTCTCCTCCTACTCAAAAGATGCCTGGGGCTGCATTGGGATGTAAAACCCAAGAGGCTAGACCCAAAGCAAGGCCTCACTGGAGCACCTGTGTGCCAAGATCTGCCAAGAGCCCCCAAGAAGCATGTGCTGTCAAGCTGCCATGGRGCTCGGTGGAAATATCTGCAGAATTGCAACCACAGAGGGGTCATTCTGCTCAAATCTGCAAAAAAAAAAAGCATGACACTGTGGAGTCCAGAGTCACCAAGTAAAAATTCTTCCTGAAAGGCAAACCACAACACACACAGGGTTTCTTCTCAGAATGCACCGCGTCTAAAGGAAACAGGAACAGATTGGGAAGTCCTTCCTGCCCACAAACTTTGTCTACAAATTGCCATCCCGAAGGACTGAGTGCCCCTTTCAGCCAAATCAAAGACCCACCATTTACTCTTTCTTAGCCAAACTAGTGGGAAATGTTGAGAACTAGAGAAAGTCATTTTTTTAAAAAATTATAATCTAAAAAAAAAACATCTTAAAATAAAATCATCCATAGACACATGTAAACACAAGCAAATCAGCACCTGGGAAAGAAGTATTAAGATGTGCTGCCATGCCCCAGCTAGAAAGAGTGGAGAAGGGCACCTCTAATTCTAATGGCACAGGCATTGGGGGTGGGGGAGGGTTGGCAATTTAAAAAAACATTTAATGAACATGTAATTTCATTAAATAGAAAAAAAAATTAGTAATCTCACTGTAGATTTTTTTTTCTCTTTCTTATCAAAATAACACTGATCAGATAAAGCAGGAGAGATAACTTCCATTCTCAACTCCCACCTGCAGGGTTCAGTTACATGCAGCATTTATCTATCCATTGGGAAACAGAAACACTAAGCTAACATGCCCACCAGAGCCCAGCGCAGTGAGTGTACCRCCATGTAATCACAATGTCAATATTTGGCAAAACTGTGTTTTTGTCCCTAAAATTCAATCTGTGCCCAACGTTTCAGGACAATAAATATTGGGGAATACCGTACATACGGGCAAAGCTACACATAAGGCACTACATTTCCAAGGGCAACAAACTCAAAACTCAAATAGTTCTGCATTCCAGAACTATTTATTCACTTGCATACCGTCTCCCAGCGTACAAACCTTGCCCTGCTCTTCATGGCTGCGTCCCTACACCTTAAAACATTGCTAGCATATAGAGGGTGTTCAACAAGTCTTTATTTCTCTACTAAATGAATATCCACCAAAAGCCCTACCACCATCAAAGTCATGGGGCTTAATTTTTTTCCTAGAAACCCATCAAATCATAGCCAATAGCACCAAATGTTGATCTGATCTAAGTCCTGAAAGAGACGGGTCTCAACCCATGYTAAATTTGTATTTAACAGGTGACTCATCAGCAATCAGATCAAAATTTGTCCTGGCTTTCCATCCTGTTTCCTAAGCAAGGTTCAAATCTCTATATTAGTCTCCTTTTCTAGTTGCCTCAGATTCTCCTCAGGTACCCAGGGCATCTATGAGCATGCTGCAAACACGTCTTGCTTCCTCCCACTGGCCTCAGGGGTTCATTAAATTGTTCCTTCTCCCAAGAAATGGGACGAAATTTGTGTTCACCTGGAACTGCAGAATGGGACTTCAGAGGATGGGACACAGGACCTTCGCAGATGTGATTAGTTAGGTGAGGTCCTACTGGATTAGGGTGGACCCTAAATCCAATGACTGGTGTTCTCAGGAAAAGGTACAGAGAGACACACACAGAATGAGGCCCCAAAAAGAAAGAAACAGAGGTTACAGTGTTGCTAGTGAAAGCCTAGGATGCCCAGGGTTGCTGGGAACCYTAAGAAGCTAGGACAAGGCCTTCAGAGGAAGATGGCCCGGCCACACCCCAGGTTCACACTCCTAGATTCCAAACTGGGAGAGAATACACTGTCTTCAGAYACCCCACTGGGAGTCCTTTTTTGGGGGTGCAATTAAAAAAAACATTTTTATTTTTTCTAATCAGTTACACATGACAGCAGAATGACGGCTCTTTGATTCATTGTACACAAATGGAGCACAAATTCTCACTTCTTTGGTTGTACACGAGGTAGGGTCCCCCTACCYGGGAAATGAATATATCCCCTGAGAGGTCTTCTAAGCCTACTGGAATGATATCAATGCCTCAGGCTGAAAGCCACCCTCATCTACCACTTTTCTCTATCCAAACAGAAACACGACTCCTAGATATCTGTCACCATCTTGGACACGCTGTGCACATGTTCATCTCCTTGAGGAGAGCAGGTACTGGGTCCTATATACCCCTTCATGACCAGACAACCAAGCACAGCATGACGTGTCACAAATAATGGACATTCGATGAATGCGTGAACAAAGAGGATGATCTCTCTCTCTTGCCACAATCAACACAAGTCTCTGATGAGTTCTCATTCAGATCTCCCATGAGGGAAACACATTCTCATCCCCCTTTTTAACTACTTAAATAAATCTATGCATCTGGACAAACAGTGACAGAAACTCCATTCTTGCTAGCAGTCGCTCTGTCCCAAGGCCAGTCCAGAAGTTGTTTATCTTGCCTTTTGTCCTGGGTTTTTTTTTAATTCACTAAGGCTTTAGAAAGATCTGTGGACCCCAGAGACCAAAGATGTTTATTCATCCACAGAGTGGGAAGTGCACAGGTGCAGAAGGAGCCTCGTCTTGCTGCCCTGTGACTAGCCCCAGTGCAAAATTGCAAGGCAGACATCCAATCCCGTCTCCTGACATGTCAAGACCAGCTTCCCACTGAGCTGCCATTTTGAGCTGAGATGGACACCAGAGCCAGGCCAGGACACAGATGGCAGGCTCTGCTGTTTTGGAGCCCTCTGCCGTCTGTGGATCAGTGACCCCCATTTCTGATCTCCAGCCCCACAGATAATTCTGTCCTCAAACCCAGCTGCCACTAGAAGATTCCACAGAGTGACACCACCTTCCCAAGGGGAAACAGTGATGCCTGTGGTTAAAGCCAAGGGTCAGACACACCTGGGCTCAGATCCCAGCTGGGTTATGCAAGAGTCCTCAACCTTCTTAAGTCTGAGAGTGGCTCAGCTTTCTGAACTTGCTTTCCCTTGTCACTGAGGATAATGGTCACATCCTCCACATTGGGTTTTGTGAGCATTCTACACAATGACACAGGGAGGGCACTTCATACAGTGCCTATTACCTGGCGAGCTTCACTAGTGGGAGCCACCGCTGATCTTATTATGAATCCTCAAATGCTTGTGTTCATTTCAGGTTGGTACCTTCTGACCCTCAGGAGGACAATACTTATAGACACTTAGAAAATTACCTCCATCAGCAAACAGAAGATAGCATGAAAAACCAGGGACAGGTAACCAGATGGAAGATGGGATCAAAAGACTGGGATTGGATCACAGTGTTACTGCATCCTGGTTGGGTGATCTGCTAAGCTACTCCAGGTCTCCTGGCCCTTAGTATAGGTAGAACACCTCTAGACTGATCATCAAATCTGAAATCCAACACCACCAGCAGCAATGATGCTCTAACTGTCTGGGATTTGGGTACACAGGATGTTGGATGTTTGGATTAGGTATGTTCCACCAGTAAAGTTGATGCAAATATTTCAAAATCTGAAAAAATGTCTCCATCTGAAACACTCCTGGTCCCAAGCATTTTGGTTAAGGGACACTCAGCCTGTGCTGTATGGATGGTGGGCACGGTTGCATCCACTGTCCCTTTCCGGGAACCTCCTGGAGAAATTTTGGTTTTCAGTGTCTATAATTCCTACAAATCTCCTCTAAAACCACCTCAAAAAAAAAATTTAACAAATATCCTCAGCCTCGTTGACTGTCTTCTTCCCTCTCGTGGGAAGCTGGAATCCCAGAGCCAAACCTGCGGTGCCCTGCTAACAAATGAACAGCACACCTCATGGCATCTGCGGAATCTCCAAACGCCTGCCTACRTTCTTCACACTCAGTTGTATTTCCTACCAGTTACACTTTATTTTGCATTTGCCCCAGCTACCTCATTTGTTTTTTGACCTGCAGGAATATCTTTAAGCCAACGTAAATCCCTTGTGAAATGAAGTAGGCCACAAATAGGGTGTTGAAATTAAAAAACAAAACAAAACAAAACAAAAAAAAAAAAACGGACTCTTCCCCTCAGCCTCAAGTTTCCTGTATGTAAAGTGAGAGTGTCAGTAACAGCACCGCTGCTCCCAACGGTGGGAGATGAAGCGAGTCTACCTCGGCAGCTCCCTGCCAAGCGTTCAAGGCCTCCGCGCTCCATCTCTCTGCCTCTCCCTTTCTCGAAGTCTCAGCTCAGGAAAGTCACTGAGCTCGTTAGGCACTAAAAGCTCTGATCCCGCCGGGCAGCAATATGGGAGAAGAAGAGGGGCGACGGCAGAACGTGAGGACTCGCTCGCTGCCTCTGCTTGCTGGGCAGCAGCACCACGGATGGCCCCTGCCCAAGCCGAGATGGGGCACCGAGCCACCGCGACACATGGGCGAGGGGACCGGAGGCCAGGTGACTGAGGCGGAACACCAGGCGGGACCACTCGGGCCAAGAATTTCTGCCTAAGTGTGGCTACGCTGCTTCTCCCAGCTTGCAGGTGGACGTCCTAGCCAGCAGCGATCTCACGTCTCATTAGAGTGCGAGGGGAGGAGGGAAATCCGAGAATGCTAAATGGCGAGCCTTCCGCGCAGGCTGCAGCAGATGTGGGTATGTCACAGAMTGTACCGGCCAAATGCAGGCGCTCGGGGAAAACACGGGATGCTTTACAGATGTCTTCCAAACGCCCAGCATCTCGGAGGGAGGGACATCTCCGCAGGACACTCGTTGGTATAGGGGCATGTATGGCAAGTGTCAAAAACCTCTTCAAGGTTCAAGGCTTAGAAAAGATGGTAAGGAGTAAGAGGAGGGAGGAGGGGAAGGACTGAAGAAGAGAGGAAGACTRGAAGCACCTGGCAAAGAGACGCCAGTCATCTCCCACCCCCTGCAGCCTCAGCCCTGTGAGGACAAAGCGGGTTCCATACAAGCATCTCTTTCCCTCCAACGCCAAGGAAGCCTTGGCTTTCCAATGTTTTGACTAAGAGGAAACCTGACTCAATGAAAAGTCAACATGGACTGAACGGAAGTGTCCGGGATTATCAGCAGGAACCGACCTTTATGGACTGACCATGCCGTACCCATTAGGGAACAGCATGGAATAACCACCCATTATTTCCTGGGCACAATCATCACTTTTTAAATCCAATGCCCGTTCAATGGGTTTCCTAGGAAGTATCAGGCCACTTTGGTTTCTGAGAATCTCTCTTCCTGTCCACTTCAGGGGAAACTGCACATTCTGCTTTGGAAATCATTACTTTGGCCTTTCCCCAAATAGGTACTCACAACCATGCAGGTCTTCCAATTGTACATCCACCCTCACCCACCAGGTTGTTCTTTGTCCCCTCCTGCCTAGGGTGCAYTCTAAGCAAATTGAGGGCAGTGGAGGCCTCAGGATGTAAAGATSCCTCACTCTGGGAAGCCCTAAGGACGCGTTCCCCATAGAATCCATCCCCTATGCCTCCCTCTGGGTGGAGGAAGGGAGAAACGCTTTCCAGAGGGAGGGATTTCTATCCTGTTGGCTGGCACCAAGGCCATCACTGTGGTCCCTTGCCTGAAGGAGCAAGTGACCAGGAAAAGGGTGCTGTGGTGGTCCTGAGAGACCTGCTCCTGCCAGCACTCCAGGAGGGCAAGCAGGAAGGTTACCTCGGTGGAGCACGATGTGGTCGATCATGTTGCGTTTGTATTTGGTGTGATAGAGGCAGAGGGGACAGCGCAGATCTTTGGGGCCCTCCTCAGGCACCGCCGAATGCCCAGCTTCCACGTGCATAGTAAAAGCAGATCTAGGAGAGAGGCGGAGGGAAAGGCAAGTGAGACCAGAGGTCATGTCACCCCACAGCTGCCAGCGAGCTCACCAGTGCCATCAGTGCTGGGGTGTCACTTGGGAGGTCATGAAGAGGGACCCACGGGGMACACTCAGAGGGTGGTCCCAGCGTGAGGCTGGGACAGTTCTCTTCCTCTATCCTTTCCAAGTCTTCAAAACACTGGCAAGGCCCTAAAATGTCTCCTACAAATGGATGAAGCCAAGGGTCTAATGGCAAGGCCCCCTTATCGACCTGAGGGCTTCTCTCTGAACACGCCTTGTGAGGGGCCCCTTACGGTCTCAATCACAAACATATTTATCTGAAGCATAACTAGACCAAATGAACAGAGACCCAGCAGTGCCCACCAAAGCCCAGCAACTAAACWGTTGGTGGGGAAAAGACTTCTTCCTCATCCAGTCCAGCCCTTTCTTGGGACATGAAGTCTAACTTCTGTATCCTCTCTGTGTGCAGACTGCATTGAAGTGATCTGAGGTTCAGGTCCTGATTACCTAGGGCAGCTTTGTATCTGTAATACAGGACTGATGCTCTACTATCAGACGGCTTTCTATCCATGCTACTACAAGGCATATTTTAAACATTTCAGAGGCACTGGTTCTTTTGGTGCTTTTAAGAGCCTTCAGAAGTAGGTACTATTATTATCTTTAATTTACACATAAGGGAATGGGAGACAGAGAGGCTGAGCGACTTGTCTAAGGTCACACGGCCACTAAGTGGTAAACCTGGGATTCAAACTCAGGCAGTGAGGCTCTGGACTCTGCACCTGTAGCCACAACCTACACATGATCTCACAGGATGAGATTAAATCACAGGAGAGGTTTAGATTACATGATAGGAAGCATTACATCCTTTCCTTGAGTTTGCCAGTTCTGTTATACACAGCAGCAAGGTGACTTGGAGTCTCTTTTTCTAGATTGGAACACTCTTTCTATGATTGCTCAGGTCTACTTTTCCTTGTGCTGGGGTCTCGATTCTCTACGTATCTTAAAATACTACCATCTTTCTTTTTTTGGTGCTAGGGATTGAACTCAGGAGCATCCAACTACTAAGCCACATCCCCAGCCCTCTTTTGTATTTTATTTAGAGACAGGGTCTCACTGAGTTGCTTAGTGCCTTGCTTTTGCTGAGGCTGGCTCTGAATTCACCATCCTCCTGCCTCAGCCTCCTGAGCTGCTGGGATTACAGGTGTGCATCACCATACTTGGCAAAATGCTACCATCTTAAATAAGAAATGTTCTATGAGGGGAGCAAAGATGGATGTTTATCCTGACTTTAGTTTTGTTTCAAAATTTATACATATGTTAATTATATATAAATAAATATTATATACATATAAAATACATATATAATTTATCCTCCCCTCAAAAAGGGGGGGGGGGTGCAGAGGTTGTTCCATGAAAGAAAAACACTTACTTCTCTATGCACTGGGCCAGTGAAATCCTTTGTTGCAAGCTCCTACTATTCAGGAGCCCATTTGCTTTGATTTTTTAAACAAATTCGTTTTGACGTAGCTTTTCCTCCCTGGGTAAATCCAAGGCCGTCTTCTGAAACTAGCTTCCCTGTGTAAAGACTGAACCCAACCTCCACATCATCTAGTGGGTGGGGCCTTCCCTGAGCTCCAGGTGGGTAAGGGAAGGAGGCGCTGGGGGGGTGGAGCCAGGGCAGCCACTGTGCTTTTCACAGAGGTTTTCATGCCACTTACTTAAAGCCTGTGTAAAAGGAGCAGTCTTTGCACTTGAAAAGCTTCTTTCCACCATGCTTGTCCCGGTAATGGCGCCTGATACTCTGGATGTAGCCAGAAGAGAATTCACAGAATTCGCAGTGAAGAACAGCTTCGGTTTTCTGCTCGGTGCCAGCCGAGGCCCCGGAGAGAGGCACAGGGCTAACACGGCTGTTGTTCCTCGCCAGGGCGGCTGACTGATAGTGGTTCAACTGCTGCTGAACGTCTGGGGGCTCTGAGTACGAGGAGTCTGTGGAGAGACAGGGAAAATGACACGGGCACGGAGCACGMGGTCGAGGCTGGAGCTTGGACACCCACAACCTGGAGTTTCCCCCTGGTTAACGGAGGTGTAACTGACAAGCTAAACACGTATGTAGTTAGGGCATGCGACATGATGGTCGGATACACATATGCACTGTGAAATGAGGACCACAATCCAGTTAATTGACACATCCATCTCCTCCTCTGGTTGCCATTTTCTGGTGTGTGCAGATCAGCCCGAAGACCTCAGCACATCTCGAGTACAGGATGCCTTGCTATGAACCGCAGTCACCTGCTACACCACAGACCCCCCAGAACTAGCTCGTCTTCTAACTGAAAGTCTTCACCCTCCATCAGCATCATCTGATTAGCTCTGAGCCTTAATCTGAGCGCGATGGCTAGGATCCCATCTCWTGCCGCCGTTGTCTAAACTCTACAACAGATCTGGGAAATGCGTGTTTGGAGGAAGTGACTCCTCTTTTGAATCTGACTTTGAGGGCCCCCGGTATTTAAAAATAAAATTCTGAGGTTAAAGGTTTCAAAGTGAAGGAAGAAAGTAAACTGTTGGTTTTTTTTTTTTTTTTTCTAAAGGAAATTGCTGAATGGCAAYGGGTTGCCACAGAATACCCGTTCCAGTGGGTGAGATAAATAAACCCATGCAATGCACACAGGGGCAGGGACAGGGGACAGAGCAACAGCTCCTCCTCCACCGCAGCTGAGAATTATTCATGCCCACCAGATTWAAAAAAAAAAAAAATTCAGTCTCTAAACAGAAATGCTCAAGCACATGGCACTCATGCAAGTATAAAAATGCTTTATGTCTTCACAGTGAAGTGATTTAAATTTTAAAATATAAAAATCCGATAGTGTTCTCCTGGAATAGATGTTTAAAGCTTAGTCAGCATTAAGATGGAGATTTATTCATAAATCCCATTAAAATGAAATTCCAAACAAGTTTCTCTGAAAGATATTTTCAAGTCTGCAATTCCGAGGAACATGTCGGAAACGACAGGCACACATCTCAACCCTAGGAGCTTCAGTGGCACGTGGTGGGGAAACCTGATCCGGATGGAGGAGGGGAAAGCTCAGAGCTGCTACAAAAGAGAGATGGAGAGAGGGAGGAAGGGAGGGAGGAGAGAGAGAAAGAGGGAGAAATAAAAATTTTAAAAAATTAAAAAGAGAGAGAGARAAAAAGTAAAAGAACAGTCTCGAGCCTTTTTGCACGGCTCAGCTGTGAAAGTGAAGGTTCAGAATTCCACATTGTCCTGCGCAACCTGCAGCTGCCCAGGAAAGACACAGATGAAGCCTGTGAGTACCACACAGAAGAATTTCAGTGTAAGTTTCCCTGAAAAGAAAACAAAGGGCTCTTTTCTTAAGCCCTTCAAAAAAGCAAGGGGGAAAGGGGACGGAAACCGTACAAGTCTCCTCCTGATTTGATGGACACTTAATTTTCCAAAGCATGATTCCCCGAGGCGGGACACGGAAAGACTCTGTAAACCCATACTTGATGAGACCAGAAGCATCCATCCCCTCTGCCTCGTGGAGAAGAAGGACAGAGGCAGATCGGCCTCCCCGATGGTGGGCCACCTCCCGTCTTCAAAACACTCAAACACCTTCCCTTCTCGTTCTCCCGCCCCCCCCCACCTCAATTCATATTCCTTAAGATCATGAAAAACCCCACTGGAAATTGTAAACAAACCCGCCACACAAAAAAAATAAAACAAAAGGAAACTTGAACAATCTCTCCAAGCCTCCATGGGTTCATTACCAGGTGTAAACGGAAGACAAAGAGAGAAAGGGATGACACATGGAATTCATTTTCCCCGGTTCCTTTATCTCCTCCTTCTTTATTCCTCTACCCTCTCTGATGAACCCACTCAGGATCACAACAATGCAACTGTCAACTCCTCATTCTCTCTTTCAATAGCAGGTTTGTTTACCATTTCTAGGACTCGGAATGTTTTCTATTTAAACCCTCAAGACCAGATTCGGCTCAAAACACACGCACAGTGAAGCACAAAGCACACCCCACCTCTCTGGTCCAGGTGGAGCACTGACTGCACACCGGCCTTCCTAGAAAGCCTCTCTTCCCTCAGTAGCATGGGTCCTACTTTGCACTCAGCACTGCAGAACAGCAACCCTGTCATCAACAAGGCCAAAGCCAGGTCYTGCTGCTTGAGGTCTATCCACCATCCACAAATCTACCCGGGAACCAAATCAAACATCCCACGGAAAGGTCTACTTCTCAACATGCTCCCTCTGTGACATGGCACGCGCCTCAGGGAGCCTCCCAGGTCAGCGTGGACGCTGGCTCACACCTCAGACAACAGGCACCTGGCAGCTCCCATCCCTTCCCAGCAGAGCTATGAAGAAATGAACGGCTCCCAGTTAGACAGCAAGCCAGGTGAGTTGATGTCCCCTTCCCCGTCACCCATCCCTGACCCAGATCATGCAGTCATCTCTTAGGCAGACCCCTCCGGGAGAAGCGTCTCCTTTCAGTTGTTATGTTTTCCTTGTCTTTAGGGTCTACTGCCTATTAGTCTATCCGTCTCAAAAAACAAATTCTACATTTTAACTCTAGTATTTATATGTTACAGAAAACTTGAGAATAAAATGCAGGAGGTCTCAGGCAAAGCCTTCCAAGAAAGGAGTTTCACCTCCCTTAAATGGCAATGCAAAAGGAACAGCTGTGTGCCTCTAYACCAGAAACTTGTATTTTCCTCCTGGTTAAAATCAGGTGGACAGTTGTATTTAGAAAAAGCAGCAAACCCTACCATTTGTGATACAGCTGTGATAATGGCCAGGGCAGGGCACTGTGGGGCTTCTCTGAACTCCACTCTGCTCTCTGGTGCCAATATTCTCAGTCCTCTCTCTCACTTAGAGTTTGTGAATAATGTACGATTTTAGCACTTTGGGCACTAAAGTGACAAAGATGTGAGTGTGTATGATTCCGCTGACCTTAAAAAAGCCCACTTGCTAAGCAACATAAAATTCTRTCTTTTTCGTGAGGCATAGCCTCACAGGCAGGAAAAGGGTCATTCTGTACCCAGGTTAGGAAGGCAAAACAGATTGTTAGCAACAAGGGCATGTCACATAAGTTAAAAATCATCATTAAGACTATTTCGTTTTATTCCGAGCTTAGGGAAAGAAAAGTGTGTTGGGAGAGACAAACTTCTGGGAAACGCAGCCACTGAAGCACTCGGTCGTGAATTCAGTGGGAGATTCTGCACCCAACAGTGGGGTCACTCAAGTGACCTGTGGTATCTAGACTGCAGCTGACAGCAAAGCCTAAGATAAAGGTGGTTCACCTTTAAAAACAGATCACGGCTTAGTGTAACATACATCTCCACCCCACCAGCCCAGAGACCTACAGTCTGAGAAAAGTTCAGTGCCCTGACTTGTAACTTTATTTATATACAAAGTTTTGTAAATTACATTTACTTTCGTTATATATGTATATGTATACACACACACATATACACACACACACCTATTTTGTAAATTGTCAATAATAAGAAGAGTTATACTTTACAAAATAAGGATCAAAGTGTAATTTTAGCATGGACTACRTCACAGTGCCTATAACATTAGAAATTTACTGCATAGCCGGCAATTGATTCTCATAATGATGGTATGCAATATAATCGGATCCCCATGCCCGTTTTACCCAAGAGACAGCTGAAGCTGAGGATGGCTAGTCACGCAAGATCTACCATGATTCAGAGGGAGGACCTGAACAAAGATCCGTTTAACTACAGAACCTGAGCTCTGGCTACTAGGCATCTGTACCTGAAGGCGACCTCTAGGGACCCAGGACAAAGATCACGTGAGCTCTCTCAGCAACAAAGATGCAGCAGAGATAAGGAGGGCAAAGTCATGGGGAGGTGGACATAGTTAATAATATTAGGCTAGATATGAATGCTAACAGACCACAACATTAAAACTCAATGCAAAAGAAAACACGGACATAAACATGGTGGAATAGGTAGGGAAAAAATAAACCCAGCAATATTTGTGGGGAAAAAAAATATCCAAAAATCTCAAAATGCTTTATAAAAACAACACAGGTGACATTTCTAGAAGCACACTGTGCTTGAAGGCTTTCAAAACACCCAGAACTGTCTCAATGCCATGCTTTAGGTAGATGCTTGATAGATGGTCCTTGAATAATAATCCTCTGGAATTCCTCAGATGGGATTTAGCTGGGAATGTCAAGGACACAAATAGGCCAGCCTGGGATTTTACCARGATAGAGCTGAATTCCAGATGGGCTCTCCCAACCCTTCCTCTTATTTAGGTTCCTACAGAAATGGGAGATTTTTCGCTAATTCCAGATCCCCCAAATACCAGCCAAACCCAGGTGAGTATCAATAAGATTTTTTTTCTTTTCCTCCACTGCAGAAACAATCCTAAGAAATCTGAACTTTATAAAAGCAAAGACAGAAAAGTCAACCTAGAAGAACAAAAAGCTTGAGAGAATGAGGATTTCCGGGTAGCCACAGGTGTGGGTTACCACTGTCTCTGTGCCAGGCCATGTGCTGACTCTGAGAGTCAAGGTCAAAGAAGAGGTGAGCAGTGCCTGGGAGAACTCAGACCCTGTGGAGGGCAGGTTGGGGGGGGAGCCAAGCAGTTGCTTGTTAGGAAAATTCAGGCCTTCTTTCTGTTTAGCAAACTTTCATTGATTGAAGGAACAAAAGAGGCAAAGAGAACAAATGAACAGTAACAGGCAAATATAACTACGGGAAGATTAAGGAAGACACCAGGAAGAGTGAGAATCAATTGGGCAGTAAATTGTGGGAGCCTCAGAGGAGAACAAAAAGGAAGCCATACCCAAGGCCAGTTCTTGAATTTCTGCAGCTTTGCCTTGAGGCCACAAAGGAAGGGGAGAGGGAGCAAGGTACCTAAGGGGGAGCAGGAGTACCCGAGCCAGTGACCACATTCAATTACATTTGAGCTTCATTTTGGGGAAAGATTTGGAAGACAGTATGA